GTGCAGGGTGTGGCCCACCTCTACACGTGCAGGGTGTGGCCCACCTCTACACGTGCAGGGGTATGGCCCACTTCTACACGTGCAGGGTGCGACCCACCTCTACACGTGCAGGGGTATGGCCCACTTCTACACGTGCAGGGTGCGACCCACCTCTACACGTGCAGGGGTATGGCCCACCTCTACACGTGCAGGGTGTGACCCACCTCTACACGTGCAGGGTGTGACCCACCTCTACACGTGCAGGGTGTGACCCACCTCTACACGTGCAGGGTGTGGCCCACCTCTACACGTGCAGGGGTATGACCCACTTCTACACGTGCAGGGTGTGACCCACCTCTACACGTGCAGGGTGTGACCCACCTCTAATCGTGCAGGGGTATGGCCCACTTCTACACGTGCAGGGTGTGACCCACCTCTACACGTGCAGGGTGTGACCCACCTCTACACGTGCAGAGTGTGACCCACCTCTACACGTGCAGGGTGTGACCCACCTCTACACGTGCAGGGTGTGACCCACCTCTACACGTGCAGGGTGTGACCCACCTCTACACGTGCAGGGTGTGACCCACCTCTACACGTGCAGGGTGTGACCCACCTCTACACGTGCAGGGGTATGGCCCACTTCTACACGTGCAGGGTGCGACCCACCTCTACACGTGCAGGGGTATGGCCCACCTCTACACGTGCAGGGTGTGACCCACCTCTACACGTGCAGGGTGTGACCCACCTCTACACGTGCAGGGGTATGGCCCACTTCTACACGTGCAGGGTGTGACCCACCTCTACACGTGCAGGGGTATGGCCCACCTCTACACGTGCAGGGTGTGACCCACCTCTACACGTGCAGGGTGTGACCCACCTCTACACGTGCAGGGTGTGACCCACCTCTACACGTGCAGGGTGTGACCCACCTCTACACGTGCAGGGTGTGACCCACCTCTACACGTGCAGGGTGTGGCCCACTTCTACACGTGCAGGGTGTGACCCACCTCTACACGTGCAAGGTGTGACCCACCTCTACACGTGCAGGGTGTGGCCCACCTCTACACGTGCAGGGTGTGGCCCACCTCTACACGTGCAGGGTGTGGCCCACCTCTACACGTGCAGGGTGTGACCCACCTCTACACGTGCAGGGTGTGGCCCACCTCTACACGTGCAGGGTGTGGCCCACCTCTGCACGTGCAGGGTGTGGCCCACCTCTACACGTGCAGGGTGTGGCCCACCTCTACACGTGCAGGGTGTGGCCCACCTCTACACGTGCAGGGTGTGGCCCACCTCTACACGTGCAGGGTGTGGCCCACCTCTACACGTGCAGGGTGTGGCCCACCTCTACACGTGCAGGGTGTGGCCCACCTCTACACGTGCAGGGTGTGGCCCACCTCTACACGTGCAGGGGTGTGGCCCACCTCTACACGTGCAGGGGTGTGGCCCACTTCTACACGTGCAGGGTGTGGCCCACCTCTACACGTGCAGGGGTGTGGCCCACTTCTACACGTGCAGGGGTGTGGCCCACCTCTACACGTGCAGGGGTGTGGCCCACTTCTACACGTGCAGGGTGTGACCCACCTCTACACGTGTAGGGTGTGGCCCACCTCTACACGTGCAGGGTGTGGCCCACTTCTACACGTGCAGGGTGTGGCCCACCTCTACACGTGCAGGGTGTGGCCCACTTCTACACGTGCAGGGTGTGACCCACCTCTACACGTGCAGGGTGTGGCCCACCTCTACACGTGCAGGGTGTGGCCCACCTCTACACGTGCAGGGTGTGGCCCACTTCTACACGTGCAGGGTGTGACCCACCTCTACACGTGCAGGGTGTGGCCCACCTCTACACGTGCAGGGTGTGGCCCACTTCTACACGTGCAGGGTGTGGCCCACCTCTACACGTCCAGGGTGTGGCCCACTTCTACACGTGCAGGGTGTGGCCCACCTCTACACGTGCAGGGTGTGACCCACCTCTACACGTGCAGGGTGTGGCCCACTTCTACACGTGCAGGGTGTGACCCACCTCTACACGTGCAGGGTGTGGCCCACCTCTACACGTGCAGGGTGTGGCCCACTTCTACACGTGCAGGGTGTGGCCCACCTCTACACGTGCAGGGTGTGACCCACCTCTACACGTGCAGGGTGTGGCCCACCTCTACACGTGCAGGGTGTGGCCCACCTCTACACGTGCAGGGTGTGGCCCACTTCTACACGTGCAGGGTGTGACCCACCTCTACACGTGCAGGGTGTGGCCCACTTCTACACGTGCAGGGTGTGACCCACCTCTACACGTGCAGGGTGTGGCCCACCTCTACACGTGCAGGGTGTGGCCCACTTCTACACGTGCAGGGGTGTGGCCCACCTCTACACCACAGTAAACACCTTCATGTAATCAGCAACAAAACTAGAGGCCTGACTGTGCTTCACGCGCCTTACTACACGCCTGCACACAAGCGTCCTCTCACTTATACATCTTAACATCACCTAGATGTTAAATATCTTGGAAGAGCATATGAATGATAACTCAGACGAATTCTTCGTGAATGTGATACCAACATCAAATCATATATCAGATATCACTCCACTGGATTTTGAAGAAGCCATAAATAGTATGCCTATGCACTCTGCACCAGGCCCTGATTCCTGGAACTCCATATTCATCAAGAACCGTAAAAAAACACCATCGCAAGCCCTGAACATTCTTTGGAGACGGAGCTTAGATACTGGTGTATCCCTGACATACTGAAAACAGCAGATATAACACCACTCCATAAGAGAGGCAATAAAGCAGTGGCAAAAATCTATAGCCTGATAGCACTAACATATACCTGCTTGATGGGGTTCTGGAAGTTCTTCTACTCCCCAAGCCCGGCCTGGGCTTGAGAGAACATCGCACATCATAAAAATCTTTGAAAGAGTGATAAGAAATAAGATCACAAAACAAATGGAATCACAGCCTCTACATAACTTATCATAGTTGCTGGACCACTATGACATGGTCTTGGGAAGGAAGATAAACAAAACGTTGATGTAATTTACAGATCTCGTAAAAGCCTTCGACAAATGTGACCATGGTGTTATTGCACACAAAATGCGCTCAAAGGGAATCACAGGAAAAATAGGAAGATGGATCTACAATTTGCCAATTGACAGAACCCAATGTGTAATAGGCATGAAAGTAAAATCCGGTTCATCAACCGTGAAGAGCTCAGTTCCCCCCCCCCCCCTCGCCGGGTACTGTGCTTGCACCAGTACTCTTTCTCATCCTCATATCAGACATAGACAAGGACACTATCTATAGTACCGTATTATCCTTTGCAGATGACACTAGGATTTTTATGAGAGTAGACAAGATAACCAAACCACATATCAGAAGATGAAGAAATTCGGTCCGTCCGTTATCAATTCGTGTGTGAGTAGACATTATAGAGGACACAACAAACCTCCAAACTGATGTAAACCAGGTCTTTCAATGGGTCATACAAAATAATATGGTATTCATACAAACTATAAACTCCGGGAGACGGGTAGGATCTAGTCGGAGCTTTAACTAGCCACATGACGCTTGACCTCCACCTCACCACAAACCTACTGTCCCCAACGTATAATTCCGCAAAACAAAATGTCCACTTAAAAACGGTGGTGTAAGATGGCAGATGACAGCCACACCAACGGTGCTTGACTGCGTGTGTCGACGTTGTCTGGCGGCCGATCTTGACCAAGCCAAACACTCTCGTGAGGATAAATATCACGAATCCAATTTTAAATTCTAAGACATCAGATGGTGGTGGAGACACGACCTTGGGTCCTCTGGCATCTCCACCTACACGCTCAAGGAGTCTCAACATTTGCCTTCACCTTTATTTACGGCAGACTGTAATTTTATTTGTATAAGATTGTATCTAAAAAACTTGTAAGTTATAAACATATTTACTTAATTTTCCATATGGACAGTGAAGTGTAAAGCTGGTGGAGCTTGAGGAAGGTGTGCTGGCAGACACTTCCCCGCGCCTGGGGCCACATATACAACACCTACTGTACAACATATTATCCACATGTTGTATGGGGCGAAAATATTCATTACATATTGAAAAGTCAGTGTTAACAGTTAACAGACGTTAAGGTAATTATCAGGAGAAAGCACTGAGCCATTACGACTATATAGAACAATTAACAAAAGAGATGTTAGTTGAAGCCTAAAGTTTGTTGGAGGGTGTTATGTGGCCTTATTACCAGTCGTTGTTCCCTCACTGCCAGTTAACACATAACATTTACTAACCAATAACAGTACAGCATGTGCAATATTTACGAGTAGTCATCAACTCCCTCTGGCACCGCTGCTCTTCTGTCTCTCCAAGCAGATCTCTGCCTCCCTCCCTGCCTGCCTCCCTCCCTGCCTGCCTCCCTCCCTGCCTGCCTCCCTCCCTCCCTCCCTGGCTGCCTCCCTCCCTCCCTTCCTCCCTCCCTGCCTGCCTCCCTGGCTGCCTGCCTCCCTCCCTCCCTGCCTCCCTGGCTGCCTGCCTCCCTCCCTCCCTCCCTGGCTGCCTCCCTCCCTCCCTTCCTCCCTCCCTGCCTGCCTCCCTCCCTCCCTGGCTGCCTCCCTGCCTGCCTGCCTCCCTCCCTCCCTCCCTCCCTTCCTCCCTGCCTGCCTGCCTGCCTCCCTCCCTGCCTGCCTCCCTGGCTGCCTCCCTGGCTGCCTGCCTCCCTTTCTCCCTCCCTGCCTGCCTGCCTGCCTCCCTCCCTGCCTCCCTGGCTGCCTGCCTCCCTCCCTCCCTCCCTGCCTGCCTGCCTCCCTCCCTCCCTGCCTGCCTCCCTCCCTGCCTGCCTCCCTGGCTGCCTCCCTGGCTGCCTGCCTCCCTTTCTCCCTCCCTGCCTGCCTGCCTCCCTCCCTCCCTTCCTCCCTCCCTGCCTGCCTGCCTGCCTCCCTCCCTCCCTCCCTGGCTGCCTGCCTGCCTCCCTCCCTGCCTCCCTGGCTGCCTGCCTCCCTCCCCGTGGCACAATAAGGTAACACTCACCATCTCTGGACATGCCCAGGGCGAGGCACTTCTGGAGGCGGCAATACTGGCAACGATTGCGGTTGACGCGATCCACGACACAGTTCTTCTGACGCGGGCACTGGTAGTTGACCACGGAGGACTGGGACCGTCTGAAGAAGCCCTTGCATCCCTCGCAGGTGATGACGCCATAGTGGACCCCGGAGGACTTGTCCCCGCACACCTTGCACGGGATGATCTCGATCTGCGCTGTGGAGAGCAAGCAAACACGGTGGGTTACTCTCTGGCTGGCTGGCACCCCCCACCATACACCATACATTATACACCCCCCCACCATACACCATACATTATACACTACACACCATACATTATACACCCCCCACCATACACCATACATTATACACTACACACCATACATTATACACCCCCCACCATACATTATACACCCCCCCACCATACACCATACATTATACACTACACACCATACATTATACACCCCCCACCATACACCATACATTATACACTCTATACCATACATTATACACTCTATACCATACATTATATACCCCCACCATACGCCATACATTATACACTCTATACCAGACATTAAACACTCTACACCATACATTATACACTCCACACCATACATTATACACTCTACACCATACATTATACACTCTATACCATACATTATACACCCCCCACCATACGCCATACATTATACACTCAATACCATACATTACACACTCTATACCATACATTATACACTCTATACCATACATTATACACTCCACACCATACATTATACACTCTATACCAGACATACACTCTATACCATACATTATACACTCTATACCAGACATTATACACTCTATATCATACATTATACACTCTATACCATACATTATACACTCTATACCATACATTATACACTCTACACCATACATTATACACTCTATACCATACATTATACACTCCACACCATACATTATACACTACACCATGCATTATACACTCTACACCATTCATTATATACTCTACACCATATATTATATACTCTACACCATACATTATACACTCTACACCAGACATTATACACTACACACCGTACATTATACACTGTCCACCATATATCATGCAATGTACACCTTGCATTGTAAATTGTACACCTTATATTATACACTGTACACCATACATTATATATTGTACACATTGCATTATGCACTACACACCTTACATTATACACTGTACACCACACATTATAAACCATGAATTATACACTGCACCATACATTATACACTGTACAATAGACACTATATATTATACACTGTAAATCATTACACTGTACACCATACATTATGCATTGTACTTAACCTTGCTAGTTGACCAGTCCAGGAACCTGGAGGCCTATTCGGGGACCGGGCCGCGGGGACCTTGACCCCCGAAATCATAGCAAGGTAACCGCAAAAAAATAAATTAAAATACATCATTGAGGTTACCGTGTGATGTTTTGGGGCTCAACGTCCCCGCGGCCCGGTCCCCGACCAGGCCTCCTCGTTGCTGGACTGGTCAACCAGGCTGTTAGACGCGGCTGCTCGCAGCCTGAGGTATGAGTCACAGCCTGGTTGATCAGGTATCCTTTGGAGGTGCTTATCCAGTTCTCTCTTGAACACTGTGAGGGGTCGGCCAGTTATGCCCCTTATGTGTAGTGGAAGCATGTTGAACAGTCTCGGGCCTCTGATGTTGATAGTTCTCTCTCAGAGTACCTGTTGCACCTCTGCTTTTCAACGGCGGTATTCTGCACATCCTGCCATACCTCCTGGTCTCATGTGGTGTTATTTCTGTGTGCAGGTTTGGGACCAGTCCTTCAAATATTTTCCAAGTAAATTATTATGTATCTCTCCCGCCTGCGCTCAAGAGAATATAGATTTAGGCAGTTAGTTGGTCCCAATAGTTTAGATATTTTACTGAGTGGATTCTAGCAGTAAAGGATCTCTGCACGCTCTCCAGGTCAGCAATTTCTCCAGCTTTGAAAGGGGCTGTCATTGTGCAGCAGTACTCCACTCTAGAGAGCACAAGCGTCTTGAAAAGTATCATCATCGGTATAGCATCTCTAGTGTGAAAGGTTCTTGTAATTCAACCTGTCATTTTTCTTGCAGTTGTGACGGCTACTTTATTGTGTTCTTTAAAGGTAAGGTCTTCCAACATGAGTACACCCAAAACCTTTACATTGCTTTTTCGTTCTATGTTATGATTTGTCTGCGTTTTGTACGTGGTTTCCGTTTTTATATTTTCATTTTTTCCGTAGCGCATGAGCTGGAACTTATCTTCGTTAAATATCATGTTTTTTCTGTAGCCCATTTAAAGACCTGATTTACATCTGATTGCAAGTTTGCTGTGTCCTCTATGTTGTCTACTCTCATAAAAATCTTAATGCCATCTGCAAAAGATGATACGATATTGTAATTTGTGTCCTTGTCTATGTCCGATATGAGGATGAGAAAAAATACTGGAGCAAGCACAGTACCCTGGGGGGACAGAGCTCTTCACGGTTGATGGTCCAGATTTTATTTTGTTGACTATTACACATTGGGTTCTGTTAGTAAGGAAATTGTAGATCCATCTGCCTATTTTTCCGGTAATTCCTTTTGAACGCATTTTATGTGCAGTAACACCATGGTCACATTTGTCGAAGGTTTTTGCAAAATCTGTGCAAATTAGCGTTTTGCTTGTCTTCCATGGCATCTAATGTCATGTCAAAATGGTCCAGCAACTGTGATAGGCAAGAGCGCCCTGTTCTGAAACCATGTTGTCCGGGGTTATGGAGATGCTGTGATTCCATGTAGTTTGTGATTTTACTTCTTAGCACTCTTTCAAAGATTTTTATGATATGTGATTTTAGTGCAATCGGTCTGCATTTTTTGCCTCTGCCTTATTTCCTCCTTTATGGAGTGGTGCTATCTCTGCTGTTTTAGTATGTGAAGGATAATTCCAGTATCTAGGCCGTCTCCAAAGAATGTTAAGGGCCTGCGATAGTGTTTTTTTTTTTTACAATTCTTGATGAATATAGAATTCCAAGAATCATAGCCTGGTGCAGAGTACATAACAATACTGTCTATGGCTTCTTCAAAATCCAGTGGGAATAGGGTGACATCTGATATATGGTTTGATATTGGTATCACATCCATGAAAAATTCATTTGGGTTATCAATCTTCAGTGAGTTTAGTGGCTCGCTGAAAAGAGTCGTATTGATCCCCCAGTATTTCGCTCATTTCTTTGATGTCATCTGTGAAAGTTCCATCTCCCTTTCGCAGGGGCCCGATACTAGTGGTTTTTTATCTTGATTTTGCATAGGAGAAAAAATATTCCTGATTTTTTTATATTTCACGATGGCTTCACTTTACGGATACTGTCTATAATGTACACCATACATTATACACTGTACACAATTCACTGTACACAATTCACTGTACACTGTACACAATACACTGTACACTGTACACCATGCATATACACTGCACATAATACATTATACACAGTACACCATACGTTATACACTGTACACAACACATTGTACACCATACATTATACACTACACAATGCATTGTACACTGTACATCAAACATTATAATCAAATCAAATCACATGTTTATTCAGGTAAAGTACATACATACAAGGTGAGATACAAACATTGATGGATTTATAGATAGAGCTAGTACATACAATGCCTAAAGCCACTATTACGCAAAGCGTTTCGGGCAGTGTACACTGTATACAATACATTGTACACTGTACACATGCATTTTACACTGTAAACCATACATTATACATTGTACACAATACATTATACACATTCCACCATACATTATACACTGTACACCATACATTATACACTGTACACCATACATTATGTAGATATGTAGATATGATAGAGCCCAATAGGCCCAGGAACTTGTACACCAGTTGATTGACAGTTGAGAGGCGGGACCAAAGAGCTGAAGCTCGCAGGTAAACCCCCCCCCTCACAAGCACAACTAGGTGAGTACGTACGTACACACGCGCGCGCGGGGCCTCGTGGCTGAGTGGATGGCGCTTGGGGGTCGGAGTCCTAATGACCCGGGATCGATTCCGGGCGGAGGCTGAAACAAATGGGCAGAGTTTCTTTCACCTTGATGTTCTGTTCACCTAGCAGTAAATAGTACCTGATAGTGTGTGCGTTTGTTAGAGAGAGAAATATATGAAGTAGCTATAATAGAGGAAAATAGACGAGTTAGAAAGGCGGGGTCCAAGAACTAATAGCTCGATTCTGCAGATAAATAGTAAATACACGCACACGGGGGCCCGAATGGAAGCTAGAGACTCAGATGTGTCATAGAGATGTTAGAAAGTTTTCCTTTAGCATGCGGGAAGTGAGTAAATGGAATGACCTAAAGGAGCAGGTTGTAGAGGCTAACTCCATTCATAACTTTAAAAGCAGGTATGCGCGCACACACACACAGGCGCGCGCGCGTATAAGACAACGAACCACAAGGCCATTGCCCCCAGTAATAATCAAAATACAACAATGCAAGAGAAGAAGAGCGCTGGCAGCCTACACAGACACTGAGCACCCCGCGCCCACCAGCCTAACCCACCACTCCGGGTAACTGTTCTAAATAAAGATAATCTGATCAAACGTGTGAACCTGAAACTCGAAACACACACAAAAAATCTCCGTTAGTTCTCACAAGGAGCAGCAACTACTGGAGTCATCGTGCGTGAGGCAGCGCCGCACAGTTATGACGTCACAACATACACGCTCCAATCCCAGGCGAGGCGCTCTACTGCCATGACGTCACTGATGATGCTACCCAACCACTTGGGAGAGTCTCGCAACCTCAAGGGCATTGAACCTCCGCCGGTCATTTACTCGCACTCATACACTGACAGGAAACTATAGCTAATTCCACGGATATTAAATATTCGTAAGTATATTTCGAATCTAATGTGTATTTGTTCGTTATTCTCTTTAAACCAGATTTTAAAAAGTTTTATTAAACTCATAAAACATATATTTGCGCATTTGACCAATTGAAGGCAAGCAGACGTGACGTCATGCTACACGTGGACCAATGAACGACGAGGACTGACGACATGCTGGGACATGTCGATATAACCTGGGAGCAACGACCCCTCCACCACCCACAACACGCTGCTCGCCGGCACAAAGACTTTCACAACTTTTGGTAAAGTTATTGTTTATTATACG